ACAAGTGTACGATTTATTTGACTTTCTTTTTTACTTTGACAGTATGAGACTTTGGCAGAGCAAAAAGAGGAGCCCCGGGAGAACTGCAGAGGCGACGTTTTATGGACGGTAAAGTTGTGGCGGTAGCCACCTTCACACCCGCAAGCGCGAGAGACCGCAAGAAGAGGTGACCACCACCACCGCCGGTCGTAAAAGGACCGACAACCTGCCTAACACGACCCCCCCCTCTCCGCCCCTCCCTCCCCCTGCTCGCCCAGGTAATCACCCCGCTCTGTTGACCACCGAGGCGACAGTTGCAAAGCGGCAGGGAGGAAACGGATCTGGCGCCGAGCGGCAAGGTGGGGGGGGGGGGGGACCTACTGGCGCTAGGCCCGCGCTGGTACGCCGCGTTATGCAGTTGTTGCAGTGAGAGGTGCGATCTTATGGTGCAGTGGGTCGGAATTACGGGGGGGGGGGGTCTCATCCGCTCATATCAGGCCGTCACGCTATCGGCACAGCAAAACGTTTATTGGGAGACATTGCGGGGACGGCTCGTCGTGGTAAAGAGGCCGGGGAAGATTTGAGTTGAGAGACGATGAAGAACCAAAAAGGATTCGTTATTTTACCTGTCGCAGCATTTAAACCTGTCGTTAGTTCGCTAGTTCTCGACTGAGTGGTTATCACACAGATTCGGTGGCGGGTCGATAATACAGAGAAACTTTTAAGGCGGAGATGACAACAAGATCGGGATAGGCGGCAGCCTTGTCGGCTGTCGCGCGAAGGGGCACGAGCACAGAGCAGGACGCTGACGACGGCGGAGCAACACCATTCACATTTCGTGATCTCAACGGGCTCGCGGTCGCACTTTAAAATCGCACCAAGAATTTATTCTCTTGAACAAACGACACTATTTCCACCTTTTAATTCGATTTGAAGCATTTTCTTGGGTTGGAAGGAAGACGGCGGCGGAGGTTTGTCGCTTACCTGGACGGGTCGCATTGTGTCGACGGGGAGGTGTTGCCATCAGTCACGGCCAACAACAAGTGAGCCCGGAGGCCGGAGCCGCTCCGGCTTATATAGCGGGCGGGGCGGGGTGAGGTGGGGCGGGGTGGTTAACACTTCTAGCATGCC